GTTAATTAAAAATGTATTTGAGAACAGCTCGAAGGTAAATAAAATAACTTTAAATGTATTTTGAAATTCATTGATTTTATGAGCATTAATTGGATTGGACTTATTTTACCATTAATTGGATTTATTTTAGCATTACTCATACTTGTCTCTATAACCTTATATACACTATAAAAGCAAAATTATCCAACCTCAATTAATAAAGTTAACAAATTTAGTTTAAGTACATTTTAAAATTAGTTAAATTTTTATATCAAGTTTTTAAATAATTTACTATTTAATTGGATTGGACTCATTTAGAATTCCATCATTATTTTTGTGATTGATTTTATAATTTTAAGGGGGAAATTTTTTTTTGAAAACAATAGAGAGCTCGTTTGGGAAAAGGGTTTTGGACTTTTTTTTGGTTAAAATAGTTAAAAAAAATAAAATAGACTTTTTAGCTTAATAAAATAAAATATTACATTCAACTCATAATCATTACATTATTTATCTCACAAAAAAATTTAAAAAATCAAAAAAAATTTCAAACAAGAAAACTAAAATAGTCAAAAAAAAAAAAATCAAAAAAATTAAAAAAGTCACAAATGAAGACAGAGAGAGAAAGAGAGAGGCGGTCCAAGAAGAATATCCCCTTGAAAAAGGGCTTTGTCCTAATTGGGTACATGATGTACATAAGTGCTTTTTCAATAAAATGATTGCACCACATAAAGACTAATGGATATGGGTCATTTTCTTGCAATTTCTAGTTACATGGTTACTACAATATGTTTATATTATATGGTAATTATTATGATAATCACTACAATCTCAATAATTTTACTTTATTTTTATTGTTTTAATTTAGATTTTGCTTATTTTTTTCGTCGTTATTTGAGTCGGCAACTTGGATATGTAATGGGGGTGCTTGTTTCAGCTTTTCAAAGTCTAACTTATGGCTTTTAGGTTTGAAAAAGTTATTTTGGACTGTTTGATTAAACTTATTTCAAACAGTTTCTGATTCAAACAGCTTATTTTAACTCAAAAAAATTGATTCTGAGAAGCTGCTCATCCCTTACTTCTGATTATCACCTTCTGCTGTGGACATGTTAATTTATGGTTATACTTTTAGATTTTTTTATTTTTTATTTTTTAAAAAATAGAAAAGACTCAAATGGACTATAAATTATTATTATTATTTTTTATGAGAAATGTAGACAAACAAAAAAATAAAAATTAATTGAAAAAACTATTTCACAGCTTATTTAACAAACACCACTCAGCAATTTAAATCTATAATCCAATAGTTACACCAAACAGATTAACAACTTCTGATTAAAGTCATAATCTATAATCTGTTAAATTATAATCTATAAGTCGTTTTAATAGCTATACCAAACGGGACTAATGTTGCTTAAGTTGGGGAAATTCAAAACTTAAGTTTTGTTCTTTTTGGTCCTTTTTTTCAGTAAATTTATGTTAATTGAAGTATTGAAAAGCTTCGATGTTGATGGGGAGGAGTGACACAGAGCCCAGGGAGACAGCTGCCCCTTCAAGTTTTTAATAATTGGTTTTTATTTGTAGTTAAAATAAATAATAATAACAATTGTTCAAGGACTTGTGGTCCAATGATATTACTTTTGACATTTTCGCACACAAAGTTATGGTGTTCAAATTTGGCTAGAAACGAGGTTGGGTGTAAGGGCTTCTTAAGATCAAGTTTGAGAATTCAAAAATAATTTATTTTTTTATTTTTTTTTCATCACATTATTTTTTTATTTTTTTATACATTTTTTGGTAAAAAGACTGTAAGAGGAGCTAATTTAAGCCCACTAAATTTTTTAGGCCCAATAGCCCAAGATTAGTGGGCCCGAATTTATCGCAAGTCCAAGATTGGTGGGCTTGGATTTATCGCCGTCAAAACAAAAAATACACTTATTTAGATCATTCCAAACAATCCCTAAGTTTGTATTTGTTTCTCCAATTTTTTGTCACTTAGCTGCTCACCTTCTTTCATACCAATAAGAATATACCGAATGTATAATTGTATTTTTGGTTCTAAAAAAAAAAACAAAAGAAATTGAATTTATCCGTTCAAAATTTGGTTTTTGTTCCTTAAATATTTATAAATACCCCTGGAACATAATTATAATGAAATAGAATGAATAATAAATTCACACACAAATAAGAAGAGTTGAACTTTTAACCTCCTAATGAACCAACTAATCCTATTGATTATATATACTGATTAAATATTACATGACCCCAAGTTTCTTTTTTATTTATTTATTATTATTTAATAAAATTCAGTAATTTATTATTTTAAATATTTAATTTATTCAAAATAGTCTCCGGTCTCCCCTCTCTCTCCCTCCATTTATGATACTCTGTCCTGTCTCTTTCTCCTCAACCATTATGTATCACGAGAATTGTTTTAGATCACTAATTAGTGATGACTCTAATAATGTAGCAGTGGGTTTCATTCACTATCACAATATGTTTGTGCCTTGTTTTTTTTTTTTTTTTTTTTTTTTTTCAATTGCCACCTCATTAGTAGTAGGATTAGTGATAACAAATTAGTGATCTATAGCATTGCCCTATATATCACTGCTGTTGTGGTTTCCTTTTAAGTTCTATAATTATTTGTGATCCATACCCTTCTAGTCCTAATCATCTCTTGGGTAGGCTATGCTAACATTCATGAGTGTTTTGGAAGGTTCTGGAAGGTTAGTAAAAAATTAATTTTTTAACTTTTTAATTTTTTTAGTGACTTTTTTGACAAAAAAAAATTGGCTTCTTTTGGCTTAAAAAGTTAGTTTTTTTGGCTAAAAAAATTAAAAAGCTAAAAAGTTGGCTTTTTTAGCTTGTTGCCAAAATGAGCCTCAATGTGTAATATCATTTGGCAACATTCAGTTTTAATTAAAAAATTAAAATATTATTATAAATTGTCATATTATTCTTTTTATTTTTTATCCATCCTTTTTTAAAAAGTCAAAAAATTATTAAAATTATCTATTCCCAAACAAGACCTATATAAAATAAAAATTAAGGCTTCTTTTATTTTTGTTAATTGGTGCGGTTAATTTAATTACAAATAGGTCCTTGCTCAAGATTAGCTAGTCATCCAATTTGTCATTTCCTTGTTTTGGTGTAGTGATCGTGTGCATTGCATATACTAAAATCATTTTTTTGTTGATAAAAAAAATAATAATAATACCACATGTGTATTTAAATAATTAAATTACTAGCAGTTTGTATTGTCGAGGAATGCAGCATCTTTGAATCCAACCTTACTTCAAGTTGTTTTTGTCTAATTTTTTTTTTTTTTAAACTTTTAATTTTTTTTACTACTCCAGTGATTATTGGCAAAGTCAAATTTTTGAATAATAAGAAACATTTGATTATTAACGTTTTAGCTACAAAATCTACAACAGCGCTACCGACCCCCAGTGAGTTGTCCAGCTCTTATTCGCTGAAAACATAAAAAAAAAAGAAAAGAAAAACTGTTTTTTTCGCCCAATCACAGGGCGCCACCTCACTAGGGGTCGACCCCCAGTGGGTGTATGAGGCATTTCTGCAAAATCTAATAATTTTGTGAAGTCCTAATTTAACTGAAAAAGAATTATCCTAGACATATATTTTCTTTTAAAGGAGGGTGTCATTTGAAAGCTAGGGCTGGAGTATGAAAATTAAAGACTAAAAACGTTGTTCAACAAAACTTTTGAACATAACATACACGGTTGTGATTGGGTCAACATGAATTTTTGTTTAAAATCAGAAAAAAAAAAAAACAAAAAACTTGATTTGAAGAGGTTGCTTGAATTTCTTGCACTCATTTTGTCTTGCAAGACTTACTTGGGCCATGCATAGAGGGTGGCCGGCAACAACTGTAGAGAGAAAGTGGTGGTGGTGGTGCGGTGGTGATAGTGGTGGACATGGTGCTATTATTGTTGGCAATGGGTAGGACAATTAGCTGCACTGCCAATTACACGAGTTATGGTGGTATAACACCGGTCGATTTGTTATAGTTTATTATAATTATTTATTTATTTATTTTTTAACAGCAAAAAAGATTTATTTTAAGTTAAAAATTCATAATCACAAAAATAAAAGTCAAAAGCACTTATTTCTCAACTTCCAGATTATCATATTCTTTTAACTTATTTAAATTGTTCTATCAAATAAGCTATAAATAGAAATTATACTAAACAATATAACATATACTCTTACAAAAAAGAAAATCGCAGGCCTAGCTTTGGATTTCCTTTCGTAAGGCCGAATATTTCTCGTCTTTTCTTTCCAAACTCATCTAACATCAATTTTTGGGCTTCACGCTAGGATTGGGCTAGTCTTCAACCCAACTCATAAACCAAGTCCAAAACAATGTGCTCCCAGTAAAAAGTAAATGAATTTTTGAGTAATTAGTTTTTGGGCGAGGAGGAAATAACAGTAATGTTAGTTAGTAGGATTTAAATGTTAGCACTTAGCATCTAAATCATGTAATTATCACAAGATCACAATCACAGGATTGCATAATCGATCCCTTTTTGACAATGCCACTCAGTTTGGTTTGGAGCTTTTAAAAAATATTTTTTTTGAGTTTTTAATTCGTATTTTGTTATTTTTTTTAGTAGTTTTTTTAACATTTTAAATATTTTTTTTTTACTTTTTAGATCCCCTTAAAAAGTATGAAATTTGTGCGAAAGTCTTTCAATTTCATTGAAAAAAAAGTATATAAATTTAATATAATTTTGTATTTTGTTACATTCAATGAATTTTTTAAAAAAATTTATACAAAATTTGTACATTTTAATTGTATCTAGATTAATTGAAGGTAAAAACTAAAAAATTTAGTCGCGTAAGCTGCTCTGGATACCTAGTCGTTAAAAAAAATCTAGATTAAGTGATTCTAAAACTAAAAAAAATGATTAAAATATTTAAAAAATTCATTAAAAAAATACAGATTAACAATTCAAAAAAACTAATTTTGGAAAATTTCAAACCAAACAGAGTTAAAAAAGATAGAAACAAGCTTTAAAAACCCTACGACATTTTTTTCTTTCATTACCTCAACAACCCTTCCGATTATTCAATAGAATTGAAAACTCTCTCTTGTCCTACAATTCCACCTGTAATATATACTTTGAAATAAAAAATAAATAAAAGTTAAATAGCCAACTATGCCAATGACACTGCCATGGGACTTCTAACAATATGAACTCCATCAGTCCAAGTATACCATCCAAATGAGTACTCATTTTTGCCAATTGAGCCTTCTATCTCAGCCTCATTCACTGCTTTAACCCTTATTGTGAAGCTCTTTTTTTGCCCAACATGTTTGAAAAACAAAATACTCGGCGAGACCTTGACGGAGAACCCCATAGGCGGCTTAACCCTAGAAAAGTACACACTCTTGCCGCCGCCGACATTCGTGACGGTTCTCTTGACAGTCACTGTGCCATTGAGTTTGGAGATTGCAAGAGATGGGTAGTTGAGATTGTTTGTTGAGGGTGATTCTTTTGGGCATTTGAATGATGGGTTGAGATTTTTAACACCATTGCTGCAGAGGAAGAGGAGGTAGTCCGAGTAGGTGGCGTCGTAGACGAGTCCCGGATCTGCTGCCTTTGTCGGCCTAAGGTGGCCGGAACCATATTGGAAGGAATTAGCTGGATTACCGGTTTCATCTGTTATTAGCTCTTTCATGTTATTTCTTAGCCCCGCTGCATTAAGATAAAACCGTGACAAAAAATCAATGACATATGACAAAAAATCAATGACATATAATATATTATCTTTTAGGAAAATGAGTTGCACAGGCACCTCCTTTGACCCCCTCTCTTTCTGATTGGTCAGTTTTTCTTTTTTCTTTTTCTTTTTTTCCTTCTTCCCCAATCACCAACCGCCACATGTGTGTGGGGTAGTGGGGTGGTGATTGGAAGGGGTCTGAATTACTTCCCTATTTTTTATTAGTGACATGTTGTAAATTTGCATGAAATATGATAGTTTCATCATACTTGAAAATATTACTCATTTCTATGCAAAAATGTGCTTAAAGAATGCAAGATGGAATATAGTCAGAAAATGTAACATTTTTTTTTTCATTTTTATTACTTATAGCTCATGTTATACAAAAAAAATGATACTAATTAATATTATTTCTAGCAATATTACGTACCTACAAAAAAAAAAAAATCAAGAATGAAAATATTACTCATTTCTATGCAAAAATGTGCTTAAAGAATGAAAGATGGAATATAGTCAGAAAATGTAACATTTTTTTTTTTTTTTCATTTTTATTACTTATAGCTCATGTTATACAAAAAAAATGATACTAATTAATATTATTTCTAGCAATATTACGTACCTAGAAAAAAAAAAATCAAGAAAAAAAACTTAGAATTTTAAATTTACAAACAAGATTCATTGAAGCCGTGTTCCCACAACAAGAAACTTAAATCTATACCACCAAAAAAAAAAAATTTCTGGTTCTTTTCTTGGGAGACTAGTTTTCTTCTATTATTTTATTATAATTAAAAATGTAACTTATTTCTTTGTAAAAAAAAGTTGTGCTCAGAAGAATTTGTCACATGATTCTATAACCGAGAGGCTGAATTTGGACATAATAATTTAGGGATAAAAGATCCCTCATCCTCCACGTGATGTGCCAAAACCATTCACCTTGTTTGGTTTGTGAATTCTTAATTCACTTTTCAAAAGTTAAAACTTTTTATTTTTCGTGTTTTTTTCATTTTCATTAATTTTTTTTAATATTTTAAGTATTTTTTTTTAATTTTTAGATACACCTAACATAAATACACTTAAAAAGTATAATGTTTGTGAAAAAAAATCTTAAAAAAATTCACTAAATACCAAAAATACAAAAAAAGAAGAAAATTCAGTACATTTTTCGTATTCTTGTGTATTTATTGATTTTTTAAAAATATTTTACTTTTAAGATACATCTGAGTAACGTGCATCTACAAAAGTAAAAAAATTACTTAAAATTTTACTTTAAAAATATTCAGTAAGAATAAAAAAATACGAAAAACAAAATTTTTTCTAAAAGATTAAAACCAAATACAGTGATTACTATCTGTTAATTTGAAATTCACACAATGAGTGGTGGATACAGTGTTTCGGAAAACAGAAAAAAAGAATAGAGACAGAGAATCCGATGCCATGCACAAGTGTACCTGAGGTGATAAGAGCAGATCTAATGGCAGCACTACTCCAAGTAGGGTGTATGGCTTTGAGAAGGGCAGCTGCAGCACCAACATGAGGGCAAGACATGGAAGTACCAGAAAGAATGTTATATTTGACAACTCTATGATCACTTGACAGTTTTGTAGGGGATGATGCTTCACTCCATGCTGCTAATATGTTGAGCCCTGGGGCAGTGATATCAGGCTGTAAAAAGTAAAAGTGAAAAAAGCAATATCAATGCATGGAATTCATATGTTAAAAAGTAAGGTAAATGTCACTTTAACCCTGTATAGTTTGAATTAAATTTTACTTTGGTCCTATTGTTTTAATTAGAACAATTCTATATTTTAAATCCAATTTTAGTTTGACTTTTTTATTCAAGTTCACTAGTCAATCTTTTGAAGAGTACACATAAAAAAAATTAACAAAAATTTAAATAGAATGATTAAATTGAAACTGGCTTAAAGTATGGGGATCAAATTATTCAAATTGAAAATTTTTGATCAAACTATAGAGGTAAAATAATATATATATATATATATATATACATTTTGGGAAATGAGGATGAAATAAGAAAACAATTAATTTCTTGGAAATTAGATTCATTTTCAAGATCTGTTTTTAATTTTTTTAAAAAATAAAATAAGTAAAAACTAGTTTGACAAGCATATACACCAAAAAGATTTTTGTTAGAAAAAAAAATTATTTCTAACCCCCCAAAAGATACAATCATGTAAAAATAATGAGTATTTGAGGCCAAATTAGTTTTCATCTATTTTGAGAAAATTTCAAAAAATTGACTCGTAAAATTTTCACAGAAAAATTCAAAGTGCAATTCTGGCGACAATGCTTTCATGACATTGTCTTTGTATGAAAAATTTATGAATATGTAACATTACTGAAATCGTTTCATTTATTACCTTGAGAATGTTAGGCGTAATTGTATTTGGACCCCTACTAGTGAAGGCGGCCATGAACGGTGCAGGTTGTCGATGTAACACCGTCCTTGCCGAATTAATATATGCCGTCGGTCTTATAGATGAATTGATATATTTGAGAATTTTGATTGCGGCGTCTGAATCCACTGCGGTGGCAGGAAGAACATGAGCATCGACCACCACTTCGGCTCCAGTCGCCGGAACATTTCCTAGGATGAAACCAACACCACCAGCCCTTTTCACCTCCATGCCCTTTCCAATTCTAGTCCCATTTCCTCTCAAACACAACACAATCTTCCCTTTGGCTTTCTTAGGTGAAAGAGAATTGGGTAGGCATTGCCTGGAAAAAATATTTCACTAAAATTTGCCCAAGTATCAAAAAAAAAAAAAATGGTAATTATACATGCAATCTCTATAATTTGTCTATTATGTTAATTTAATTCAATTAATAATATCGGTTAAAAAAATTGGGTAGAATGCAAGGCAAAATAGTCCATTAAAAAAGGAATAGAACATTTCAAATTGGATGAAAATCCTTAATCATTTTGAGAAGAGGGAACGGATTATTTTACGCTTTGATTTTAATATAATTTCTAAAGAGTGTTATAAATTTGATTGAATTGACACAATATAAAAAGTTTGAGAGTAAAATTGATGCAATTGGAACTATAAGGACTAAAGCCTCGTTTGGGAATATGCTATTTTAATAGTTTTTTGACTTTTTACAAAAAGATGTACAGAAAAATAAAGAAAATGATGCGATAACTTATAGTAACTTTTTGACTTTCTGACTTTTTAGCTAAAATATGTAGTTCCCATACAAGGGTTAAGTTGACACATAAATTAAATTATAAAGGTTATATGTAATTTGTCCTAAAATTTAAAACAACGAAGAAGAAAGATTACCCCGCGATATAATTTTTGGGCACGTTGGGTGCAACTACTTGTGCTGCATAAGCTAGTGGGTACATTCTCTCCTTCAGCTTGTATGGAGTTACTGTTTGTCCCTAGTACATTGGCAAGAACATACGAGGTCTTTAATTAAATGATTGTCTGATAATGAATCAGAGTAATCCGTGTTTGTAACATTAACTTGAGAAAAAAAATCAATTTAAAAAAATATTTACCTCAAATTCCCTGCCATTTCCTAGCACAAGAGGTGCTATGAAAGCTCGGTCCACGCTACTAGCACCCACAGTGATGATCCATGGAGCCGGATTAGACAACGTCGATTGGGCAGGGCCATTGTTTCCTGCGCTACACGCGACAACAATCTCTTTCTTGATAGCATGAAGAGCTCCAATTGCAATGCCATCATGGGTATAAAAAGTAGGCTCATCCGTCACAATCGATATGCTTAGCACATTAACACCATCGGCAATGGCATCGTCAATAGCCGCTAACATGTCCTCGGCGAAGCATGTGTTCCCATCTACTTTCTCTTGGCCCGGAATTGCCCAACAAGCTTTGTATATCGCGAGGTGTACGAGTGGTGCACCACCCGAGGCAGCGCCACGAGCAAAACCACCGAGGGCGGAGACATTTTTCACTCTCCGGCCTCCAACGGTTGATGCTGTGTGAGTGCCATGGCCGTCCCTGTCGCGGGGAGACCGGTAGTCTAGTGAAGTATTTAGACTACCATAGTATTTCTCATAGCCCTTTAGGTAGTATCTAGCTCCAATTAACTTCCTGCAAAAAGAAAAAAAAAAATGCAACACATTACTAAATTTAGTTGTGGAGTGAGATGTTGTTCTTGAACATTTTTGTGTTTGGTTTATGCGATTTAGAAATAGGGGTGGCGAAATTTGTATCCAACTCATTGTTTTTTTTTTTATTTATTTATTAAAATAATGTTGTGAATCTCACTAAATTTCATTGACTGGTGACAAAACTGATATACACTTTTCGTAATTTATAAAAACTCTAATTATTTATATTGTATAATATAATTTGAGAAAGTCAAGGTATGAATTAAATGATATGGAATAAAAATATGAATTGGTAACCAAAGCCATCATGGTTGAGCTGTAAAAAATGAGCAAGGATCCTCTAGAGTTTTTTTTTCTTAAAGTTTCCTAAAGTGGTGCGAGATTTAATGACAAGTCACATCAATTTTTCAGCATTAAATCTCAACCACACAATATACCACTTTAGGAAACTTTAGGAAAAAAACAGTCTAGAGGATCTTTGGCGGTAAAAGATTTGTGCTTGTGAAATTATTTTTGAAAACAATAATCAAATGTAGAAGCAAAGGGCTGCATGTAAAGACATAATAATTGTTGCATGTAAAGACATAATACAAGGGTCATGCTCCGGAGCTCTAATTAGAGCTGCAAAAGGACAGCTCTAATGAGCTGTCAACCTATAAAAAAAAAATAAATAAATAAATAGTGAAGTAAAAGACAAAAAAGAGGGAAGAAAAAGACAAATTAGTGCTCTATTAGAGCTCTTCTTTTAGAGGTCTAAATCATTTTTGATAATACAAATAGTTAATTGTTACCAATCCGAATAATTGTTGCATGCAAAGGCATAATACAGGACAGCATGAAGAGGACAATTTGATGCTTCCCACTTTATGAAAATGCCTTCTTTGGTATTATGAAATACATTTAATTTGAATAAAGAGTATTTACCAATTAGTCCTATTAAGTAAATTTATTTATTTACAAATCATAACTAATAAATTTATCACTATAAATTTATTCATAAAAATAAAAGATACTGATAAATTTATCAATAGAACTTAATGGGTAATAAGTTCTAAAAATAGAAGTTATTGATAATTTACCCTTTAAAACAATACCTTCTTTGGAATAACCCATCATTTTTAAATATTTTTTTGTGGGGTTAACTACAATTAGCATCACCTTTACCAAAATTTCACCTTGATTCTTCATTTTAAATTGTGACAATCAACTTTTTATATTTTAAATCAAGTAATAATATTATTCTTTCGTCCATCTAACATAAATAAAGTTAATAGAACTTGTAATGTGAACCATATGTTACATTTTTGTTATCTCGTTAATATCTTTACACTTTCATTAAAATCTTATATTAGATGGATGAGTCAAAGTGATTTAAAATGTAAAGTATTAACTTTCACAATTAAAAATGAAAGAGTCAAAGTCTGATTTTAATAAAAATGCACAAATACTAATATAATTAACTTTTTTTTTTGATGGTGAAAATATAAAAGCTTAAACTATATTTGAATCATGAATTTAAATAAAAATTTAAAAAGAAAAAAAATAAAAAATAAAAACTAAATTGTAATTATATTTTTATTTCTATCTCACCAACATTTTATAATTTTTTTTAATCTCTATTTAAATTTATAATTTAAACACAGCCTCACCACCTACCATGTGAGAAGCAAATAAGGAGGATCAAGGAAACTATAGTCTATGTGTTACAATACATATAAATAGACTCACTTATTACAGTGTGATGAGTTAAAAGCTTGGTCACTCTGGCAGATTCCTTTCCATGATTTTGGAATGGGTCCCATCCCTTTATCACTGAAGCTCTTTGATTCTGGCCACACACCTACATTTGTAATCACCCAAACAACACAATCAAATTTGATAAAATTTCTTTTCTTTCTACCAATAAATAAATAAATTACTATATATATACATTCCACAACCAGATATGTAATATGAAAATTAAAAGGTCAAATATGTGCGATATTTTAAATATTAGTTGATACTATTATATATATATATATATATATTTAGGGTAAATTAAATTTTTTCCCTTTCATGTTTGGCCAATCTTTGACCGTTAAAGTATATTAGCAGTTCTCATTTTGACCTTTCATATTTCAAGTTTCTCTTTCCATATCTCAGTTGCTCAAAGGAATGTTAAACTTTTCAATTCTACAAGGATAATGTTGAGATTTTAGTAGGGAATGGAGTAAGAGTAGTTTTTGGAGAGTAATTTTAACATTGACATTCACTTTGGCTTCTTTGTTTCCTCCGTGACTATCAATGTGTTATTTTCTATCTAATTTTTAATAAAAATTAATTTTAGGAATAAACTGGAAAAAGCTTGAAAATATATATATATATATTTAAATTATCATTATTTAAATGGAGGAATATAGGGATAGGAGGATTGTTACCACTATCCAAGAGGCCAACAATGACTCCTTTGCCATATCTGGACTTGAACAACAAGTCATCTTTCTTCACAAAATTGTGCAATTGCACTCCTTCTTCTAAACCCACAAATTCCCATGATCTTGTAGTCTGCAATGAGTACTTTCTTGGGTGGCTTCTAATCACTGATACCACTTCCTCCAATTCTGTCACCAATAATTAAATTAAAAACAAAAACAAAAAACAATGAGATAGAGGATTGTGACTTGCCCTCTGTAGACCTCACTTTATAGCTGTCGCCTCGTGGTTTTAAAAAAACTATAATTGGGAGAGAATTTTTTTACTTTTTTGTTTCTTATAAGATGTAATTTATTACCAGATAGTTTTGAGGCTTCATCAGGGGTGAGCACAGCAGCGAATCCATTGATACTGTTCTTGTAACTGTAAACAAGGGAAGCCTTGGCTTCTTCCTCAGATTTCTTGACAGAGATAAGATAAGAGTGATGGTTTGCTTCAATTTCATCCAATGTTTTCTCTCCACTGTGTTGTCCAAAGTATACTATATATACCTGTAACAATCATACAACATTTTGTCATGTAACATAAATAAATAAATAAATATACAGAAAAGAAAAGCAGAAACCTGTTGTTCAACACATGAGGCTAAGAGAGGGAGGAGGAGGAGAGAGAAAACTGGAGCTATCTTCATAGTTGATGATGGCATGATGCGTAGAATCATGGGAGGGATATATAAGATCATGAGATGGATATATAGAAATATCGGGTGCATTATGGTTTATCCTTTAATTTCCGAGTTGGAAGAGTTTTCTCTTCTGTAATCATTTAGGCCTAAATAATTGCAAGGGTCTTAAAATTTTGATGGGCGAACTGTATTTTTTTAAATATGAAAAGTAATTAAATGAAAATTTAAGGGTCGATTGAATCTCCCTTTTCAGACCAATGAAATAAAATGGACTAAATTAATATTTTATTCCCAAAAGTATAGCTGTTTCTGGGTTTGAGTTTAGTCCTTCAGCTATTTGTCTTTTCTTATGTTGGTCCAATTCGTCACGATTTAGTAACTTTTTGGCTAATTGGCTAAAATAGCCTCTTGCCAAACGAGGCCAAGAGGCAATTTATAAATTTAAATATTTAAGTTTTCTACTTTGGTCACTACAAAATTAAAATTTTTCTAAAGTTTTTCCATTTGATCTCTAAATCCAAATTCAAATCCAATCTAATCCAAAACCAGCTCCACCCCAAAATTCATCTCCAAACCTACCGAATCTAAAACATCAACTTCATATTGGATCGAAATGAAAAATACGATCGTGTGCTCTAGGTTGTGATCATGCATAGAAAAGAGGACATTGGGAGAAACAAAAAAAAGAAGTGAAAGTTCATGTGTTGTGAGGTTACATTTTTATAGAGCAAGAGATAGGTGTATTTAAAATATAAATTTTAATTTTCAATTGAAAATATGTTGTATATGTCATTTACATAGTGAAAGTATTCTTTATTATGTCAATGATCATAACGTCTTGTATCCCTCTTTTTCCGACTATTTTTTATTTGTTTCCTTTTGAATGTAGAAATCGACATTTAGAGAAATCGATATTTGTCACAAGAAGAGAATGCAGCTTGGCAAATAAAGAGGAGGAAATTTATGAACACCAAATGAGATGTTCACTTTTAATAACAGTATGGATAATGAGGTTGGTTGCAATTGTGGGAAAATATTTATTTCCTTATTTTTATTTTTGGGGGTTAGGGATCAAATGGGATAATCATTTTCTTCAAGGACTAAAATGGACAAAGGTAGTATGATATGCACACGCTAATTCAGGATACCTTACATATAAAAATAAATAAATAAATAAAAGTGGGTAAAGGTCTATACTTTTAGGTGTAAAAGTATAATTTATTCTATTTCCATGAATTATCACTAGATGTACGCTGGGACTAAGTCAACTTAATCCATATAGTATTTTTCGTTACAAGTATAATGGTTGTTAGAATTTAAATCAAAATGAGAAGAATCTAATAATTTAGGAACTAAATGAGAAAATTTTATTTCTTTAGTGATCGAAGGAAGAAAATGATCGAATTTTAAACGATAAAAATGCAAGTTTTAACTATTTTCGGAGAGATAAAGGTTTTGCTAATTTAACGATTCCTATTTGGATGGAGATAAGTTACCTGAATTTTCTCAATCATGATCCTTCAAAACAAACTTTATATATTTTATGGGACCACATACCCTAAAATACATCTATCGCTTTTTTTGACCCAATGGGATTGCATTTGAATGGAAAAAATATGCCCCCTGTTTTTTTTTCAAAAGATAATGTTTTGATAGAGCAATTTTAGTTTGGAAGATTGCTATATATCACAGATTAATTTAACTTTTTCTTCACATTTTATATGGGTTCGCGAAGCAAACGTCAATTGTACATGTAGATTCTTTATATTTAAAAAAATTAGCGTAAAATTCGTACTCCAGACAATTAATAAAATGTAAATAATATTAAATATATTAAAAAAATTAAATATTATAATATTAATTTAGATAAGTATTTAAATAATAGATTTAAGTGATTCACTATGTTTATATAGATATGCAGGATTAATTCAAAAAAAAAATAATTTTTTTTATTTTAAATACAGTCAATCAGATAAACTCAATATTGAAAAGGAAGAGTAAGGGGGTGTTTGATAATATGATTCTGCACTTAAAATTGAATGTATTAAATAATAATCAATTAAGTTTAGTTGATAACCACAATTGATATCACTTAAAAATTTAAGTGTCTTTTAAAATGTAATCTAAAATTTGAAAAAAATTTAAGTCATATGAAACTTACTTAATTTTGACTAAATTTATAATACTAAACATAAGTGTCAGTATAAACTATTATAAACTTACTACTAATTCTACCACCACCACCACTACTACTATACTAACACCACTACTACTACTACTACCACCATCACCGTCACTACCGCTACCATGCCACCACCATCGTCACCACTACCCTCACCGCCACCACTACCACCACCACCACCATTATAAAGAAAGAAAAATCTAAAATATTGCACTCCACCCAACGTTGACTTGACATGTATTCAAAAATAAAAAATTCTACAGTCTCATAAATGGAATCAAGAAAAAAAAAATCAAGAATATCAAATCATGCTGCCACTGCCACCACCGCTACCACCATCACCACCGCCACCACCACCACTACTATCACCATCACAATATAAAAATTGAAATATATAATTTAAAAATAATAAATTTTAAATTTAATCTTACACATATTAAAAAATTTATTTTTAGTTAAGCACTTAAATTTTTATCAAACAATTTTTCAGGTTAAAAATTTCATTATTCAATTTTCAATACTTAATTTTCAGTTTTCAACTTTCAAATTTATCAAGCAGCACCTAAGAGCATTTCCAATGATAATAGACATTTCACCTATCTAAACATTACTATAAAATATATATTTTATTTTGCCTATCAACTATTTTATGTTTACCCTAACCATACTCGTTATTTTAACTATTCATCCAAATACTATTAACTTTATAAAATGCCACATCAACAACAAAGATGGAGGAAAATGATTCAAATGATTAAATGCAATTTGCCTAGCCTTGAAGGCTAACTATATGTAGCTAGTGAATGTAAGTTGAGCTAAAATGCCTAATCACAATGCACTGGAGTTGAAAAAAGTGAGTCATACTAGACATTTTGACTAACAAGCATTATATGTCTAGTGGGTTGAAGATACTGAAATTCAATAAATATAAGATAAAGATTAAAAAAAAAACATTAAGTTTAAATTTAAAGATAAACTATAAAAATATAGAAAAAGAAAATTAGAAATAAATTGAATTGAAAATCAAGAGTAAGAGTGGATTCTGCAAATATAAGATAAAGACAAAAAAATCAAGTTTAAATTTGAAGATAAACTATAAGAATATAGAAAAAGAAAATTAAATAAATCCTAGAAAAATGAGGTAAAGAGAAATTTAGTAAACATTAAATGTAGATTGCAAAAAAAAAAAAAAACAAGCTGAAATTTTAAAATTCAAAAATAAAATAAGATAAACATAAAAAAAAAAAAATCTAATATAATTCTTATAATAGAAGAAACAAAAGAGAGTAATAGTTTAAAAATTGGACAAAAGTGAAATGTTACTTATAATTTTTTAAAATTTGTAAAAAAAATATATATATAAAAAATAAGTACTTTTTTTTTTTTGGATAAACAAAAGGAAACAACTTTGTTGATATCAATAAACGGATTATATCGATAAAGCAAGGGCGAAGAGCATCAAGCATCATAGTGCTACCCTTCATCCCAATTAGGTTGGCACCAAGAGCAACACCCAATCATTTGAGAGCTCACGCCAAAGGGTTGGCTGGAAAAGAGTTAAATACCACCTATAATTTTTGATATAAAAAATAAGTACTGAGATGTAATAAGTTAAAAACTAGAAAAGAGTTAAATACCACCTATAATTATTTAAAATTTAAATTTTGTATATTTAAAAAATAAGCATTTATGATATCTTATTATACAAATTTTAACTCTATTTTGTATCTACTACTTATAATTTTTAACATTTTTTGTATTCTAAAGCTACTTAATTAAAAAATAAAAAATAAAAAAAATCAAGGGATCACCTTTTTATTTCTTAATTTTGTTTTGTGTCAATAACCTATAAATTTCAACTGTTTTTGTATTCTGAAGCTACTAAATAAAAAAATAGCATCATTTTTCTTTTTAGAATCTTAGTTAGTTTTATTTTTACTTTGTGTTATATGATAATATTATTGTGTCAATAAATTTTGTTGTGTCAATAAATTTTAGTAATTTTTGTATTTTGAAGTTACTAAATAATAAATAAAAATAACATCACTTTTCTTTTCAAAATCATAGTTAGTTTTATTTTAATTTGTGTTATATGATAATATAATCATTCATTTTAAATAATAAGGTTTTAAGCATAAAATGCGCATGACTTGAATGTTTATTTGGCAATGACAAGTGTTATGCACGGGAATATAAAATTTAACAATCATAGGGAAAAAAAAATTCGTATGATTTTTTTTCTCTAAATACATAAAATATATTTATTTAAATTAAGTTTTAAAATTTTGATTATAAATATGTAATGTGTTTATAATTTCGGCACAACATAGTTGAATAATAAATTTATTTATAAAAAATTAATCAAACTTTTATTGATTGAATTCAGTCTGTTTATAAATTACATGACATTCAATAATGTAATTGAAATTAACTATTAAATAATAATTAAATAAAAAAAATATGTATATTGAGCTTTTGTTTTTCAAATGGGTCCAAAAGACCCTATTTATAATTTGTTTTTGTTATATATATAACGACTATATGAGTTGAAAACAAAGTTGTTTATTCGTATATTTATTAAGGAATTTAAGATCCATTTGCTTGAGATGTTCCTTTGTGTAGAATTATTTTACATACTTATATACAAAGAAACAAATTTAAATCTATGCAGATCTCAAATAAAAAATAAATAAAAATGTAAGTAAAAATGTTATAGAGTTACATAATTAAGTTTAGTTATATTTGAATTTAAATCGAGTGTTCTTATATTACACAACAAAATGAAACGCATAAGTTAATATAATTGAAGAAAAAATATAATGAAAAATAAATGGGACTGAACAAAAACTTCTTTCAAACTTGAGAATGTGTTCCAATTACTCTTCTCGATTGATAAAATATTTCTCAAAAAAAAAAAATGTGTGAACTTCATTTGCATCATAAAACATCACTCTTTATGTCGATTTTTTAGTTATTCATTGCCGCTACTACTTTTTTCTTGTGCGTTGTACTTGTGA